TAGATATACGGAAGCTTGGGGTGATGACAGATCCCTCTACTCCACCCCCGGGGAAAAGGTTACGCTCTTCTTGTTTCTACCAATGGAAAAAACAGATTAAACTAAAGTAGACATAAAATTTACATAAATCGCATCTTTGCCAGCTAGTACCTTCTACTTGAAGGGTGGCTTCAGTGATGGGGAGGGAGTGAAACAGGGCTCCGTCGGGAAGAGCGCTCTCCCCACCCTTACCCCCTCTCCCGTAGGTCTACAAGGAAAAAAAAAACAACATTCGTTGGGGAATAAAAAAAATGTGTTTGTAATTTCTACATAGGGCCTATTAGTAAAATCTAAAACAGAAGTGGCGCTAGAATTTGTCCAGGGAAGGTCCGTGTGTGGGGGTGAGGAAAGCGCGGTCTCCGACAAAAAAAAAGTGGGGGTGGTCGGGGTGTTGCTTAAAATTTCGTGCAGTGTCGAAGGTTCATTCGAAATATCTCTATGGTGAGAACTGATTGTGGGAAGAGTGACTATCAGAATTCAATCAAGTAAAGTGTGCAAGCAATAGGTGCAATAAGAGACAGGGTGCACCATCGGTAACCATAGCAGTAGATATACGGAAGCGCGGGGTGATTTTTTCTTGTGAGTCTTGATTCATTAACCTAGAGGGCGTATAGGCGAGCACAATTGGCCGTGATAAAAGCTTGGGCATAATGGCTGAAATGACTGATTGATGACCACTACAGAACATGGCTAGACCAAACACTTATCAGAATATACAGGCCTGATAGTATAAATACTGTACATTACTCGAGTGATAATATAATTAATATCGAAATATTGAATCACTACACGATATTGTATCAATACTTGGATCATGTATTTTATGCTATATTTGAGACATCAATGGACCATTCCGTTTTTGATACACGAATTTCCCCATCGGATTTCAAAAAAAAAAAAACCAAAAAAAAAAAAAAACGATTAATCTTTCATTTCCTTCATTAAATGCCAATAAGAAGTGTTTTTTTTTTCTCTCGCTTGTTGACAGGCCAACCACCATCCCCGCCTCTGTCTCCAGTATTTACCACGTGCAGAGTAGCCTAGCTATAGCACATCTAACTGTACACAGGCCGCCGCTTTTTGCTAGGCCGCTGAGCGAACACAAAAACAATTCAGTTCTTTGAATAGCATTACGCACTACGCACACATCTAGGCAATAACATTCCTGCCACACAAAGTAGAGGAATCTACAAAGAGAGCCATGGGAAATTGTTCTTGGAAACGTTTTGGGAATAATTCAGCATATTTACAGTAACTTAAGCCGTATGAAAAAAACACAGGTAATTAAATGATTTCCAATAATACTGAAATATTATATGCACAACTGATTACTTTGATTTGTTTTGGGTCACTTCTTAGATTTTTAAGGACATTATTTACTATGCGAGTCCCATTCACGCAGTAGAATGAAAAGTGGTGTATTACTATGAACTACCGTAGACCTACGGTAATCGTTGCAACTGTTTGTTCCTCTTTATTGAACATACGGCTTAGCAGCAGCAGCACACTCCCGCAAGTCGCTGATAAATTTATAGTCAAGTACCAAAGATAGTTTATCGGTCACTCCGTTGAATATTCGTTCCAGTTAGTGTTACGTAATACATGCAATGATACTAATTATACGATTAAGATAACAGTGTTTACAATCAACATGTGGTTTGTGTTTGTGATAAGACCAAAAAAGATCGATTGGTCGTTTTAGGTCGTTTATTAACGACCTTACAAGAGGTCGTTAGACCTCGTTTTGAGCTATAGTGGTCTATTGTCCTCGTATTACCACGTTCCGTTAACCATAGGGCAGGAAACTGCTGACCTGGTAAATTTGTGGGGACAACCCGAGCTGAGAGACCGGATAGAAAATAAAAAAACAAACAACAAAACTGGAATTTTGCTGACAAATTAGCCAGTCTCGGACATGAGAAGAGAACGAAGGCCCAAATTCAAACAAAAGTGAAGGCATTGCGAGCCCAATACAAGCTGATAAAAGATCAGTTGAAGAAGAGTGGTTCGGGCACGGCTGGTGTAAAATCTTTGATTGCGATCCACCCAATCACACTTGCGTATATCGAATCCCGTGAAACAGAGTTGGCCAAACTCTCCCTCTACGGCTCTGCTGTTTCGACTTTCATAATTTGGAGGTCAATCCAACTATTGTGACCGACCCAGAATTTCAAGCCTGGCTTGAAATATCACCCGTGGTGAGTCAAGCCAGGCTTGAGACTCTAGTGTGATCGTAGCCTCTAATTATCAGGAAGGCCAGACTGCGGTACATGACGGGTTATCGCGGCTGGGAAAGTCATTATCTCAGAAGGGTGCTGCCATAGCAATAAACAATCAATTCATACTGAGTTTATTGTAAAAAGAAAAAAAAAATCTATTTTGTTGAAAATCATATGAAATATGTTAACCCTCTTGATACCGGATTCTTCTGTAGTGCAAACCCTTGAATACCTGATTCTTTTGCAGTGTAACAAGGTTTTTTGCTTTTTTTGAGTATACATCGTTCTGGTGGATTTTTTGGAACTTTCTGTAAATTATACAGAAAAATGTAAGCCCCTCTACCCCGTCAAGGTTGATGACCATAGCGAGAAAAAATGGTGGTACATTTCTGCACCCCTTCAACCAAAAAGCATGCAAAACAAAACATAGCATTACATGAATCAACTCAATGTTGAATGAATAGAATCATATATACCTACTTGACATACTTACAGTTCAGTGAGGGTGATGGTACTCTTTAGTGCATGTAGCTTTGTAATCAGCCAAGTGGTGGTAACGCCAGAAGCAAGGTACTGGACACATTGGTTGATTGCATTCCTTACAGATCATCTCTGTCTGGTGTCGTCTGCCGGTAGTCTTATCTGAACAAACAACACAATCTGGTTTAGCTGTCTTGCCTGATGGGGTCTTCCTGCTAGTGAAAACTAGCTGATGGTGTTCAGTCAGGCGTTGGGGTGGGTCTGTTGAACGTCTACCAGGTTGTGACTCTCTACGGGTATAACCCTCGAGTAGCCCATCAATCAGATCAAGTCACAGCTGGTCGTACCTGTGCACCTCATCAACACGAAAACACCTGTAAATAATAGCAGCGTTAATGAAACTTACCTCTAAAAGGTATATAAATACCTTTTTCCACCATTTCATGCTCCTGTGTATGTGTAGATACATCCAAATTTGCAGATCAGCTCTGTCAACTCCTCCCATAAATTGTGTATAGAGTTCTATGGCATATGGCTTGGTAATTTCCTTAAAATCTGGGCCATTCCGTTGTCGTCTTCTCTTGTCGTACGTATTGGAATTGTGGAGATTTGTCAGCAAATGTACCTTTCTTTTGTCCTTCCAGGCAATAAATAGCTGATTCCCATCATGCTCAAAAACAGCTTCACCTACTGCAGGATTGGCAGTTTGTATGGCTTCTGGAGTTCCTATCCTGTCCGTCCTCAGCGTCCCACAAGCACCACAGTTCAAAGTTTCAAGCTGTCTAAAAAGTTGTGGAGATGAAAAATAATTGTCCATATAAACATGATGATTCTTACCTCTTATAGCTTGACAAAGTCCCATCACGGGTCCTTGCCTCACATGTAAGTTCTGGTTGATCACATAGCCAGTCCTTGCATCAGAGAGAGTCCAGGCAGTCATACCTCTTTTGTGTGGCTTCTTTGGATGGTATGTCTTGAAGCCAACCCTGCCTTTGAAAGCTATCACACTTTCATCAATGGACACCTCTCTGGAAGGATAAAATGCAGTCAGGATGTAGGCAGGATTGTCCCTCGGTGGAGCAGCATCATCATCTACCAGGTGAAGACATCTCAACAGCAGCTGGAATCTGTTTCTTGACATAACCGATCTATGCCCAGGATGATCCATATACCAATGTCTTGACCAGTGTCTCGTGTACGAATTCTCTCGAACCAGTCCCATACCTAAAAGCATGCATCTCACTTACCTCTGAATCATACCACTGGCTCAGATTACCTACCTGCGGATGTGCATTACGTATAAGCCTCTGAGCATATCTATTGGTCTCTGTCACAAGGAGATGCAAAAGGTGGTCATCCACGAAGTGGTGGAAAATGTCGTACATCGAAGAGTCAACATCATGCACCAAAGGCCCAGCATGCCCAGTATACTCACCTAAAAGAAAAGAAGTATGTAAAAAAGCCTATAGCAATAAATTTTATTTGTATCACAAAAATAATTTATTTAAAAGAAATAGGATGTTCATGAAAATCAAGGAATTGGAAATAAAAAGATAAACCTACAAATTACTTATTTAGAGAAAAAAAAACACTATAATAAACACTAGCTAAAATAATCAACAGCATTGATAATATTCAGTGATTATAAATAAAAATCTCATCCTAATCATACTAATAATACTAAAACAAGTATTTACAATTAAAATGAGATAAAAAAAAAATAATAATATAAATTCTTGGCTAAATAAAAAAAAGTATACATATAATTCTTTTTCTAAAATTAAATGTAATTATATTTAATGACAATTAGTGAAGAAAATACCAATATATAAATAATAACAATAAATAATAATAATATTTGTACTCTAATAATGTTTCTACTGAAATACTGTAATATAATATATAACATCAAAATATAATATAATATAATATAATATATATAATATAATAGAAATGACAGAAAAATGCTACATATAAATCGTCAGCAAAAACGAAAAAAAAAAATTATAGCAAAAAAAAAAATAAAAACAAATATAAAACATTCCTGTTCCACACAGATATATAATTTAATTACCCAACCATCCATAACTATAAGCACGATCTTTCCATTCAAGAGCGTCGACCACCCTCACATATCTAGGCCTATGCTCATCTTCATCAAGAATATCTCCGCCGTCAGAACTGCTTGAAGCCCCACCGTCGTCATCGCTAACAGGCACGTCTAAGTCTCGCACATCTAAAAACTCACCTTCATCGCTGTCTGAATCAAAAATCAGGTCAATCACTTCCTCAGCTGTATACGCATCTTGTGCAGCCATTTCGGAAAATTTCTGAAATGAATAACGATTTCAAATTGATATTACTAAATATTTTTATATAAGCGCATATGAGTTCTTCACAGATTTCGAAAGAATAAAGCTTCACGCATGCATCTTTAAAATTTCTGACGTATTGGAGCTAAAATAAAAACAGAAGCGATTTGAAAACCACCTATTTTTTAGTCACGAAATTTCGATTGCAGTCGAAAATGGGAATTCTCGGTTTGAGGTCAATTTCGACTACAGTCGAAGACGGTATCTAGAGGGTTAACATTTGTCTTTAGCAGAAAAAACAGTCCTACCTACGAGTTTGAATCGTGAAAAACGAGCCGTTTTACGAGAAGTTACAAAAGTACAGGCCTAGCCTAGGTCGATTTGGTATAGGCGTCGTAACGATGACATGAAGTTTCTGAAAAAGGCGGATGAATATATTTGTTTGAACTTATTCACTTTGAATCCATTTATTAGTAATATTTTTTATTGATGAAAATTAGTGTGTAAATTATTTAGAAACTACTTTAAATATACGAATTGTTTAATATATAATTGTTTGTTGTAAATAAATATAATACAGTGGTAATTGGGAACTATTTTGCCAGCGTAATGACAGAAAAACACCAGCAGTAAATAATAAAAGAGCGCTTGGTTTGATCGTCAGATGATTCGTGTCATGTGTTGTAAATTTGTAAACAATAGTTGACAGTACTGAGAGATGGAAAAATTTAAATTCTCAGAGGTCGGCAGCCTCGGCAATTTTTTACTACTTAGGCCTATAATAGGCCCCTAGTATTATCTACTATTTTTCCTGAACGCTCGAACTTACATCGTCATCTACAGATGTGATTTTGTAAAATTTATCATTGCTGGTGAAAAAATGGTCGTACTTCGTACTATTAATTTAATACTGTAATATAGTACATATGTTTTACTTAAGAAAATCGCCGAATATATTTTGTTTTAACGTTCGTTTTATCGTTATCTTTGGCATTTGAAATGCCAAATCCGTCTGCAGATATTGGGATTTTTTCCAGTAGATATTTAGTTTGTTTTGTCATTCTTGATCGGATTTTCTCTACTGTTCCGTTTAAACTTTATATTATCATTATTTGCATTTATGTGGCTGTAGAGATACAAAAATGATAAGCAACAGCTAAAAAGTAAACGTAAGTAAACAGCCAGAAATAGAACCAGAGCTTTCGGACAACACTAGTCCTTCCTCTGTGGCGAGTGAGTGAGGGTAGAAAAAGCTAGATGGTATAAAGAGAGAATTTCATGCAAGCATGATAGGAAACAATAGGCTGGGTGAGATTAGAATAAATAGCCTAAACAAGTAAACAGGAAGGCCAAAACTAAACTTTTGTTTCTAGCCGTACCTATTGTGTAATGGAGTGTATCTGGTGGTATTTGAATCTGTTCAACCATGAAGCCTCCGTGGTCTAATGGTTATGACGCTCGCCTTGACAGCGAGAGGTCGCAGGTTCGAG